GAATCATAATGGTTATCTGGTGGGCTCTCCTTAGAAATCCCATTTTTCTATTATAATTGGCTCTAAGCCTTTCTGCCTTGGCAGCAAACTCTACTTGTTAGGCTCTTTAATCCAAGTTTCACTGTACCTAGCATAAATCAGTGAAATGCTTAGTGTGTGGAAATGCTGGTTGCTTCATAGATGCCTTGAAAAGTGATTTGACCTTAAAAATAACTTTTATTGGTGTTACATAATCATGTTGCACGATGCATATGATATTTATTGCAAATGTATGTTGATGATGTCATCATTCTGCACAATTGCTAAGACTCATAGTTTCCAAATGTTGGCTGTAGATTTGCTTGATTCCTCCTGCAGATGGGATCTTTTTTAAAAGAAAAGACGTGGACGTTTTGACTGCTCACTCACCCTAGAGTTCTACTAAGAAAGGGGCTCCTGAGCAGGTGTATATGAAAATAAAGAGTGCAGAACCAGAGAACTGTATGAAGAGCCACAAAAACACCATCCACAATCACCTATCACAAGTTGTCTTAAGGAAACCTCGAATAAGTAAAACACCAGACCACCAGACTTAGAGGAGAATGTAATCACTTGTGTTGCCGAAAATGTTTCACTTTATTAAACAATCTACTACTAGGTCCATTTTAAGTAATGAAATATCTAGAACTAAAACATGTAATGAATAAAATTGGTTTTGAATTTCTTAGTTTTGATAGTCACCATTGTTATGTAAGAGATCACTTTTTTATTTTGTTTTTGGAGACAGAGTCTCACTCTGTCGCCCAGGCTGGAGTGCAGAGATGTGATCTCAGCTCACTGCAACCTCCATCTCCTGGATTCAAGCGATTCTCCTGCTTCCTGAGTAACTGGGACTCTAAGCACACACCACCATGCCTGGCTAATTTTTTAATGTTTTTAGTAGAGATGGGGTTTCACTATGTTGGCCAGGCTCTTGACCTCAGGTGATCCACCCACCTTGGCCTCCCAAAGTGCTGGGATTACAGGCGTGTGCCACTGCGCCTGGCCAAGAGATCACTTTTTAGGGGAGTCTGGGTGATGGCTGGAGAGAATCATTCTGTGTGCTTTTAACTTTGCATCTTGTGTGAGTCTACAATTATTTTTAAATAGAGTTAAAAATTATACACACATACACACACACACACATCCTATGTAGTATATTATAATATATTCAGGAACACCTCTATGAGGTGAAACAAGCACATCTTCATTGCATACTCAGTCTAGGTGGTGACTGATCTCTCTTTGCCTCTGCCTGGTAAGTTATAAAATAAAGAGACTGTAATGCCCAAATCCCGTGGTAGCTGATAGCTTCAATCACTTAATCTTTCACCAAGGGGGCATCAACAGCAGAAAAGAAACTCATTTGAAAAATCATGTCTCCTTATCTCATGACCTAGAAAAGGAGCAGAGATCCAAAGTGAGTAATCTGCTTTTGTGATGTTTGCCAGAACCAAATTTATCTCCTTTGTCTTTCTTAAGTTTAGCACCTGAACTTGATGCTTGTATCATTCTAATTTTAATTCTGGTTAGAGTGAGTGAGTTCTACCCAATTTTAGTTGCTTAAATGGAAAAAGTGGAAACCGTGGCAGAAGTTAAAGGAGATTATCAAGAAATTGGACGTATTAGATGAGATAGGGAGAACAGGAAGGGAATGTACTTAGTCATTCACTCTTTCAACGGTGAGTCCTCGCCTCTGGGCTCTGAACAATACGTTGTCTGATGACACAAGGATGGACACACTCTGACCCGCCGGCACTAGCTTTCCAGGCTGTAGGAAGACAGCAAGGCAGTAAACAAGTTGTGGTCTGCAGCACCAGGTAGCCATAAATGCTATGGAGAAAAATAGAGCAATGGGGAAAGCTGTGGGGGTGGCAATCAGAGAAAGCAATTTGTTCATACTTGGAATGACGTTGCTTCTGCACAAGAGTTAAGATAGAGTTACAGCCGTCATAAATTTTATAGATTAGCAAAAACAAAGCTACATCTTAATCCTGGTATTGCGTTAGTGAAATGGAACTGGATTGCTATATCACTTTAATTTTAATTATAGTTAAAGTCAGTTTATTTTCCCCACTTTTCCAGATCCTGGCAGGGTTTGATTCTCACACTTATTTTATATAGCAGCAGCCATAAAAATGTACATGTTCTTTGACCCGTAATGCAGTGATTCTCAGTCTCACTGGACCTAATGCCCTCTTTTTGACAATAAATATTTTGTAACACTCCCTTTACTATCCTAAATGAAATCACGGATCACATAACCTAGCTAGAGACATAGTTGCAAGAATTCAAGACAATACTTAAGGAAACCAAAGGAAAGTTATTTATATTATAATAAAGTAAACATGAACACAGCAAGATATACAGTGCCTGCATCTATACTCAGAATTACTGTGTCAGCCTCGAATGCAGATGCCCAGACTTATGGACCAGTCACACCTGGGAGCATCGCAGGTTGCCATGGCGATGGGAAAGGAGAGGAGGCTGTGTCACTTATGTGCTGGTCTAAAGCACCTCTAATTTCAAGGGAACAGGGGAGTTTAATTCTTCCATAGGCCTGGGACTTGGAAAACCTGAAAGCTTTGGTGTAACTAAGTTCAGGGCTCTTAACTGCCTGCGTGTATTTGACCACATGGCATTTGACAGGACATGGGGTATGGCACAGTCCTCAGTTGATTGAGACGATCCCATGCATTTCACACCTGGCTCTGCCCACCAATGCCAATAAAGCTCCCCCAGGCAAAAATTCTTTGAAAGTTTTCAGCATCCCTCTTGTTGGCAGAGTGGCCCTCTTGAAGAACCTCTGTATCTTTTCCGCGCTACCTACAGAGGGATCCATACGGCGTAGTTCTGGATTCCCGTCGTAACTTAAAGGGAAACTTTCAGAATGTCCGGAGCCCTTGATGTCCTGCAAATGAAGGAGGAGGATGTCCTTAAGATCCTTGCAGCAGGAACCCACTTAGGTGGCACCAGTTTTGACTTCCAGATGGAACAGTACATCTATAAAAGGAAAAGTGATGGCATGTACATCATAAATCTGAAGAGGACCTGGGAGAAGCTTCTGCTGGTGGTTCATGCCATTGTTGCCGTTGAAAACCCTGCTGATGTCAGTGTTATATCCTCCAGGAATACTGGCCAGAGGGCTGTACTCAAGTTTGCTGCTGCCACTGGAGCCACTCCAATTGCTGGCCGCTTCACTCCTGGAACCTTCACTAACCAGATCCAGGCAGCCTTCAGGGAGCCACAGCTTCTTGTGGTTACTGACCCCAGGGCTGACCACCAGCCTCTCACGGAGGCATCTTATGTTAATCTACCTACCATTGCTCTGTGTAACACAGATTCTCCTCTGCACTATGTGGACATTGCCATCCCATACAACAACAAGGGAGCTCACTCAGTGGGTCTGATGTGGTGGATGCTGGCTCGGGAAGTTCTGCGCATGTGTGGCACCATTTCCTGTAAACACCTGTGGGAGGTCATGCCTGATCTCTACTTCTACAGAGATCCTGAAGAGATTGAAAATGAAGAGCAGGCTGCTGCTGAAAAGGCAGTGGCCAAGGAGGAATTTCAGGGTGAATGGACTGCTCCAGCTCCTGAGTTCACTGCTACTCAGGCTGAGGTTGCAGACTGGTCTGAAGGTGTGCAGGTGCCCTCTGTGCCTATTCAGCAATTCCCCACTGAGGACTGGAGTGCTCAGCCTGCCACAGAAGACTGGTCTGCAGCTCCCACTGCTCAGGCCACTGAATGGTCTTAAGCTGTTCTTGCACGGGCTCTTAAGCAACATGGAAAAATGGTTGATGGAAAATAAACAACAGTTTCTTAAAAAAAAAAAAAAAAAAAAAGAACCTCTGTATCAATCAAGTTCATGGGGAATTATTCACAGGTAATAATACAAAATATGACTATACTATTTGTCGGCTTATATTGCTATCAAGGTTATTATGACAGTGTAAAACTGGAAACAACCTAAGCATACAACCAAATGGAAATGTTTAGTTAGCTATGATTTATCAAAACAAAATTATAGGGTCAGTAAATAAATAGAATTCTACACAACAGTGCAAACCAAAAATGTCATTTATGATATACTGTTGATTGAAAACATGCATAACATTTTATATAATCTATATAAAAACATGCATGCATATAAAGAAAAGAAGAAATATTCTGAAATTGATAATTGAAAGAGAATGAATCCGCTATGTATTGATTTGTAACAAACCACCCCAAAATGTAGTGCTTTGAGACAACAGTTTGTTAGCTCATGATTCTGTAGGTCAACAGTTTGGGCCAAGCTCACATGGTGTGGTTTTTCTGCTGTCCTGCTGGTCTTCCCTGCGCTCACTCATGCTGTGGCAGCAGCATGTCGGGGCTGAGTGGGAGCATGCTGGTCCAAGGTGGCCTCACTCACATATCTAGTGGTTGTTGCTGACCATCAGCTGAGTTTCTGCAGCGGGCTAGCCATGGACATCTTCTTTGAACCACCACAGAAGAGCATGCAGTATTTTAGGCTCCAATTATAACTTTAAAGCTACTGAAGTATAAGATTGATAGAGGGTAGACATTGTTTTATTTGTGCATTTCAATACTATTCCCCAAAGGTCTAATTGACCAGAGAATGTCAGGGGTGAAAAAGAGAACGGACCAGCCATCTGGTCCACGGAAGACAAGTGGGTTGTACCAAAGTGTCAGCTAAAACAGTTGGTCCCAGGACCACTGTTAGAGACTGATACAGGCAGGAAGAGAGAGCAAGCAGTAAGCAGTTAGTGAAGTCAGTCACAGGGGAGGAAGGGGGATGGTGTGATAAATGCCCCACATTTGCCTTAGGAAAGTAGAGGCCATTTTAAGAATCAGGTCTTGTATTTGATTCCTTCCAAGGAGTTTGCTAAGTGACAAATAGATCTTATTGGGTTGCAATATTAAAGATACTGTCATTTTTTACACTGCTGAGACTGATGAGTGATAAACTCTCTGCACAGGTTGTGGGGCGGGAACTGCTGGCCCAATACACCAAACAGTATGAAGAAAAACCACTCTTTGGTCTGCTCCAAAACTGGGCTGAATCTGTGGGGGACAAGCTGAGAACAATGTACGTATTACTGAGACCATCGTCATCATCTGTCTTCAGTGGCTTATCATGAAGCCTGCGTTAATAGAGCCTTGGCATAACTCACTCTCACTTGAGATTTTTAGTGTTTGCTATATGCAAGAAATCTGTGAATATGTAAAATTAATGCTTATACACTCACTACCAACTTAAAAACTAAAACATTGCTCATTCTGTTCTTTCTCCTTGAGTTCCTTTTTTACTTCATGTTCACTGTTCCAAGCAGTTTACAGGATTTAATCCTAAAAACCCCATGAGTTTTTATTTCCATTTGGCAAGTTTCCAAATGGTAAGTTCTTATTTCCGTTTCACAGATGAAGAAACCGAGACACAGAGGTTAAGTCCCTTGCTTACCATTTCCAAAGGGTAAGTTCTTATTTCCATTTCACGGATGAGGAAACTGAGGCACAGAGGTTAAGTACCTTGCTCAAGGTTACATGGCTAGTGAGTGGCAGAGATGAGATTTGAACCCAGACAGTCTGGCTTCAACATCCGTGCTTTTGGTTGTTTGTATTGATCTTTCAGTATTGTCCATTAGCTTTATAAATAAAACATAATATATATATAGTATTTTGTAACTTTGTTTTCACTCACTATTTTGTTTCTCTGAATCATTCACATTGTTATGTATAGCTGCAGAACTCCTCTTCACAATATTCTGTAATTTTCCATCCTGTGTGTATGCCACACTGTACTTGTCCATTCTAATCTCTGGTATCTTGGACATTTGGGTCATGTATGGTTTTTTGGTATTTTGCATGATGCTGTTATGAAAAACCCTGTACATGTTTTCTGGGGGATGTGCACAAGAGTTTTTATAGGGCTTTCAAACTTAGTTAACATTACTTAGAGTAAGAAATACACTTTAAATCACCGTGGACACCCATATATCCATAGGACCTCCATTTCAGAAGCAACTGAAGCAAACAGTTCATGGAGCAGTGGCTACCTCCCTGTTTGTTACTAATGATGCTCTCTGATATTTTTAAATTTTATTTTTAAAGAAAACTGATCTTAGCAGAATATTGATTTCAGCCAGACATGGTGCCTCATGCCTGTGATCCTAGCACTTTGGGAGGCCAGGACAGAAGGACTACTCAAGCACAGGAGTTCGAGACCAGCCTGGGCAATATGGTGAGACCCCCTGTCTCTACAAAATTAATACAAAAATTAGCAAGGCATGGTGGCACATAACTGTGGTCCCAGCTGCTCAGGAGGCTGAGGCAGGAGGATCACTTGAGCCTGGGATGCAGAGGTTGAAGTGAGCCGAGATCATGCCACTGTACTCCAGTCTGGGCAACAGAGTGAGACCCTGCCTAAAACAATAAAATAAAATAAAATAAAAATAAAAATAAAAATAAAAAAGGCCGAGTGCACTGGCTCATGCCTGTGAGGCACTTTGGGAGGCTGAGGCGGGTGGATCACAAGGTCAGGAGATGGAGCCTATCCTGGCTAACACAGTGAAACCCCGTCTCTACAAAAAAAATTAGCCAGGTGTGGTGGTGGGCGCCTGTAGTTCCAGCTACTTGGGAGACTGAGGCAGGAGGATGGCATGAACCCAGGAGGCAGAGCTTGCAGTGAGCTGAGATGCACCAGTGCACTCCAGCCTGGATGACAGGGTGAGACTCTGTCTCAAAAAGAAAAAAAAAAAATACCCCAACCCTTAAACTGATTTTATGACCTATTAGTTATATGCAATCTGTTGTTTGAAAAACACTCCCTTATGGTATATATTACCTAGGAATGGAATTGCTGTGTTATGGAGTAATGTTCAACTTTACTAGATAGTGACAAATTATTTTTCAAGGTAGTTGTTTAAATTTACACCCCCATTAGCAGCATGTATCTTGTGGGGCCTTATTGTGTTCTCACCAACACTTGGTACTATCAGACTTCTTAATTTTTGTCAATACAATATAAGAAATGATCTCTCACCCTGACTTTAAACTGAATTTTTACGATTACTGTTAAGGATGAGCATGATTTCACAGGTCTGTTTGCCATTTGTATTTCTTCCTATGTGAAATGCCTGTTCATGTTTTTTGCCTATTTTTAGCGTGTGTGTGTGTGTGTGTGTGTGTGTCTTGTTCTTATTGATTTTTAAGGGCTCTTTATTCTCTGTTGTTATAAATGCTATAATTACCTTTTCTATGTTTGTGGCTTGTCTTATGTTTTCTTTATGGTGTCTTTTGATTGAGATAAATTCATTAATTACAGTTGAACTTACCAGTCTTTTCTTTTTATCCAACACTTTCTGCATCATCTATTCTGAAATCATGAAATCTATATCTTTAAAAGTTTGAAAGTCTCACCTTTTACATTTAATTATTGAATCCATACACATCCTTGTGTATGGTTTAAGGAAGGGATCTAATTTTACTTTTCTCCTTCAGGGACAGTGAGTTGTTCCAGCAGCATTTACTGAATTGGACATTCTTTCTTAATAACCTGCAAGGTCTCTTCGGCATTTATTAAATCTCCATTGGGAGTTTGTTTTTGGGCTATTTTGTTCCTAGTCTCTTTGTATATTTTTGATCCAACAATACACTGTTGTAATTACTCTGGTGTTATAATAAAATATTACTATAGTATTATATTATTATATCAGAAATGTAATTCAGAATTGTGTTGGCTGTTCAGGATCTTTGGCTATTTCATGTAAGTTTTGTAATCAGTTTGTCAATTTCTTAGAAATGAAACACAGGATGAATATTGTAGGATTGTACTTACATGACATACCTAGAGTAGTCAAATTTGTGGAGATAGAAAGTAGAATATTGGTTCCCAGGTGCTAAGAACAGGAGAGAATGGGCAGTTATTGTTTCATAGGTACAGAGTTTCAGTTTGGGAAGATAAAAACGTTGTGGAGATGAATAGTGGTAATGACTGTACAACAGTGTGAATGTACTTAATACCACTGAGCTGTACACTTTAAAGTAGATAAAATGGGCCAAGTGCAGTGGCTCATGCATGTAATCTCAGCACTTTGGGAGGCTGAGACAGGTGGATCACCTGAGGTCAGGAGTTTGAGACCAGCCTGGGCAACATGCTGAAACCCCGTCTCTACTAAAAACATAAAATTAGCCACGCGTGGTGGTGCATGCCTGTACTCCCAGCTACTTGGGAGATTGAGGCAGGAGAATTGCTTGAACCCAGAAGGTGGAGGTCACAGTCAGCCGAGATCGCACCATTGCACTCCAGGCTGGGCAACAAGAGCAAAACTTCATCTCAAAAAAAAAAGTAAATAATGTTAAAATGGTAAATGTTTTGTTATTTGTATTTTACCACAGGCCTGAAAACCTGCTGAAAGTTGCTTTGAAAGTATATTAAATCTATAGATTTGCAGAAAATTTGACATATTTATAAAGCAGGTCTTCCTCTCAAAGATTTTCATCCTCAAAGTGTCCTCTAGGGTTGTATAATTTTTTCCATACATAGTATATCCTTTCATAGATTTATTACTAGTTACTCCATAATTTTGTTGCTAAACGAATATTTTTAAATTGTGATTTTTATAGCTAATGGTTTATTATACGTGCAGTTGGGTTTTGTGCATAAATTTGACTGTAAAGAAATTTCTTTTAAATATGTCTGTAGATTCTTTGGAGGTTTTTTCCATAGACAATCATTTGCAAATTATAAATTTTTATTTCTTCCTTTCCAACTATTATTTCTTTTGTTCTTTTCATGTCTCACAGCAAGAGCTAGGACCGCCAACACAATTTGAATAGAAGCCATCTTACAGGGTGTTCTTTTGCATTATTGCTGATTTTATTTATTATGTTAGAGACAGGGTCTTATTCTGTCTTCCAGGCTGGAGTGCTGAAGTTTCTGATAGACACACTTTACTTCCTAAAGAAGCTTATACATTTTAAATGTATTTTTGTCATTACCAGATTAATTTTATCAAATGATAGGAATTTTCTGCATCTGTTGAAATGATCATATATTTCTTCTTTATTTTGTTAGTTTGATGAATAACTTTTGCAAATCATCTAATGTTAAACTACCTTGCATGCTTAAGAAATGCTCAATTTTGTTATGCTATATTATCATATTTATATTTTCCTGGAATTGGCTTGTTAGTATTTTTTAGGGGTAGGAGATTGTATATTTATAGTTTTCTATTCTTGTACATTCCTGATTTAGATTTATGTCAAATTTTTACAGCTCTCATAGAGTTATTTGGGGGGGAGCGGTTTCTTATTCTGTGAAAGAATTTGATAATTTATCAAATTTGAAAATAATCTGGGCTTAGCGAGTACTTTAAACTATTTAATTAGCTTAATTGTTTAAAGACTAGGCTTTTCATGTCAGTTTGAGTAAATTGTATTTTTCTAGGAATTTATTCATTTGGTTTTGATTTTATTGGTGTAAGTTTTTTCAGGTACTGTTCTATCATTATCTTTTTAACTTCTGCTAGATCTGTAGTTGTGTCTCATTTGTCATTCCTAAAATGATTTCTTGTGCCCTTCTCCTTTCTTTGTTGTTGTTGCTCAGTCTCATCAGATGTTTGTCTGGTTTATTGTTATTTTTCAAACAACTAACTTTTCCCTTTGATCCTTTCTGTTGTACCTTTGTTTTCTATTTCATTGATTTATGGTCATGAATGTATAGTCTCCTATATTATACTTTTAGAGAGCTTCTTATGCTTTTTTGTTTTGTGTATTTTTTAATTATTATTTTTTTTTTGGAATGAGATTATTGGTCCCTGAAACCCGAAAGTAGTGAACTAGTTTCTAAGGAAACTATTCATTAAAGAATATAATCTCACAATCCTGATTAAACACATGGAAAACACAGTAAATGATGGTCTGGGATTTTTTATACCATTGGGATGAAGTGAAATTGAGAAATCTGTAATCTGTCTTTTTTTTTTTTTCTTTTTTTATTGCTGCTCAGGACCCTGTTTATTCAAACTGTGGTCCATCTTAAAGCTTGAAAACACGAGCTCCTACACGTTAGGAGTGTTTCACTGGAGTCTCTCTTAGTTTTAATGTCTCCGTTTGTCTTCATATTCTAGAGTTAGTGGGTCTTCCTAATATTTCTAGCTCTTGAGTAGGAAGTTTATAGTATGGATAGCTTTTTCCTCCAATGTATTAGTTTGAAAATTGTCCAACATATTAAGGGGTTGAAAGAAAAGTACAACTCCCCACCAGAATCAGTTCCATCCTTGCAGGAAACTTGTTCCCCAACTGGCCACAAATCATCTGCCCTTTCATTTCTTTTTCAGATAGTAGAGCAGGACTTGTTTCCATCATTTTGGAAGTATGACATGCTGTCACCCATATGCAAATCTACATCCCTAGCACATTTTCCAGGACAGAGTTGAGATGTGCCAAAGGCAGTATTCCAATTGTAAATATTTGGAAAGTTCCAGTCCATTTATTTTTGTCTCAGTTATTAACCTCCAAAACAGTATACATCTCTCTCCCACACATCTAGGTTTTACTGATTCAGTCTCTGTGTTTATCCACTTAAATCCCAAAACTTTACTTACTCCAACTTTTATATGAAGGAAAGCCTTTGTCATCAACATGTTTTCAGCACTCACTGTGTACTCGGCACTTCTCTATGCATTGGTGATCAGCAGTTACTAGGGGCTCTGCCTTCATGGAGTCTGCACTCTGAGAGCAGTAGGATGGAGGCATAGTGACAGCCCTGAGAAAAGCACTCTTGAGAAGGTGGGGACCTGAGGAAAGATGGGCTGAGAACTTCCTGGCACCCTCAAATCCCTCCAGTGTGCACCCATTTGTCCACACAGTGACTACCCCTCATTTCGGCCTAGGAGGAGTCAGTCATTGTATTGCAAAGCCTCCATGGGACCAGGTAAGGCAGATGGAGCATGGCAGGGAGAGGAGCCCCGGAAGGAAGTGACTCTGAGAGGGGATTGTACCTGGCTCTACAGACAGCCCCATTCAGCCCTAGCTTGTCCCTGCAAGGGCTGCCTCTCTCCCTCCTGCATGGAAGCCTGCCACTGGGGCCCTTCCCACTCTCATCAGCCTGTGGACCTTTAGGAGGTAGTAGTAGGTGTCCAGGAAAGTCAAGATTTTGCCTTGCACCCAACATGTTTTTCTACATTGTGCTGTAAAATTTACAAATATTCAGCAAAGTTGAAATAATTTTACAGGAAGCACTTATATACAAACCATGGAGATTCTGTTAACCTATTACTGTACCTGCCATATCACTATCATATCTGTGGATCTATGTATGGAACTCACCCATCCATTCACCTTCTCTTTTTGATCCATTTCAAAGTAAACTGTAGACATCAGCATATTTCTAAATAATTTAGCATGAGCCTTATTAACTAGAGTTACATATTTAGTTATAGTTCTTATGTAGAATTTACATACAGTAAAATGCACAAATCTTAAGTGTACATTCACCGGGTTTTGACAAATACATAAACCTATGTAACCAAACTCTTATTAAGATATAGATCATCACTCCAGAAAGTTCTTTCATGCCCCTTCTTGGTTAATCTTACTACCCAGATACGGCCACTCTTCTGGTATTTTCCCACCACAGATTAGTCTTTCTGTGCTAAAATTTCACGTAAATGGAACCAGGCAGTATGTACTCTTTTGTAGCTGCCTCGTGAACTTGACATAATGCTTTTTGACATTCACCCATGTTGTTGTGTGTATTAGTTTGTTTCTTTTCATTATTGTAGTATTTTACTTTATGGATATAGTAGAATCATTCTCTTATGGATGAATAGACACCTGGGATGTTTGCAGTTTTTTACTTCTGTGAGTAGAACTACTATGAGCATTCTTATACAGACTTTTTTTGTGAAAGTATTTTTTATTTCTCTTAGGCAAATAGTAGGAGTGAAACTGCTAGAACATAGGGTATGTGTTCATTTAGTTTTATTAGGAACTGTGACAACATTTTGCAAAGAGATTTCACCATTTTACACTTCTATCAGCAAGCATGAGAGCTCTGGTTTCTCCAGATCCTCGGCAACACTTGATGTCAGTGTACTTAATTGTAGTCATTCTGGTGGATGTATAATGCTACCTCACCATGGTTTCTGTTTGCATTTCCCTGATGTCTAATGATACATGTTTTAATTTAATTTAAACTTTATTTAATAATAGAGTCATTTGGATCTTGTAAAATACGCAGTTACAAGGAGGTTGCCTTTAGCAATGTTCCTGTTTTTTAAAGAGAGTCTGCACACTCTTTTGCACTGGGCAGGCTCCTAGACCTACATGACATGCGACTCACATGACTCAGCGAGTGGGTGAGATCCCTTTCCTGCAGCACATGCAGTTCACAACCTCAGGTGGACAAACATGTTCTACAGTCTGCATTCCAGGAAGGCCAGTTTCCAACAACAGCCCCTGGAATGACTAAAACATACTTTTCAATAATATCTGAAAGCCCTTCACATCTTTTATTAAGTAGACTGAGGCAGAAACCCAACCTTCTTAAAGCCCAGATTCAGAATAAACATTGACATCATTTAAATGTCCTGGTAATTGGCATGTAAATACCTCCCTCTTCCCTGTCTAAATGGAGGGCGATTATTAATTCAGCACTTGGCATCTCAAAAGCACTGCATCAATTGCTTCTTAACGTTCCTCTCGTGCCTTCTGATTAAGCAACAACAGCCACTTGGGTTTTTTATTTTTAGTTAATATGAATTTAAGTTATTTGGGTCTTATAATAACTTACTTCCTCAGGAAGTGGGGAAAGGGGAGGGCAAGAAGTGACTGCGCTATGGGAAACTCTAAGTGTGAATTAACCCTTCCCCTGTTTGTCTAGGTTATCTAAAGGTTCATGGTGGGGTCATAAAATTGGCATGAAATACAGAGTTTCATGATGAAAAGCTCACGGGCTTTTAATTGTGAACTTGGTTGTTTTGAGTCTGTGCTTACGTCTCTTAACTCCTCTGTGCCTCAGTTTCCTCATTTGCCAAATGGGAAAGACGGGAACTGCTGCCTGCTGAAGAATGCCACCATCTCTGTAGCACACCCTCCCCTGTGCTTGCACACAGCCCTCTCACTACCCTCCGGGGTGCCTCTTGCTTTAAACACTGATGTTCCCCAACAAAACCTGAGCTCGACTGCCTGTGTGACCTTGAACAAGTTACCAAATCTTGCTGAGCCTCAGTTTCCTGAACTTTTTACTGGATAATTATCATATTCTAGAATTATTGAGAAAATTGAATAATTCACAGCAAATAATGAGCACAATTCCTGATATATATTTAATAAATATTAATTGATGAATATTTTGTAACAGATATATTTGATTATTAATATCCAATTATAATAATTATAGTAAATGCCCAGCAGCGGTTATTATTATAAACTCACTTCATAGAGCTGTATAGTGGTTATTATTATAAACTCACTTGACAGAATTGTATAATGGGAGCCAGGCACGGTGGCTCGTGCCTGTAATCCCAGCACTTTGGGAGGCTGAGGCAGGCAGATCACTTGAGGTCAGCAGTTCAAGACCAGCCTGGCCAACATGGTGAAACCCTGTCTCTACTAAAAATACAAAAATTAGCCAGGCACAGTGGCACGTGCCTGTGGTCCCCACTAGTAAGGAAGCTGAGGCATGAGAGTCACTTGAACCCAGGAGGTGGAGGTTGCAGTCAGCCGAGATCATGCCACTGCACTCCAGCCTGGGAAACAGAGTGAGACTCTGTCTCAAAAAAAAAAAAAAAAAAAAGATTGTATAATGGTTGAGTCATACATGAATTGTATAATGGTTGATTATACTTGACAGAAATCATATTGCTATTCATTAAGAAGGACTATACAAAATATTGAACACTACTTATAACACAATAGTAAGTGGAAAAATTAGGAAACCAAATCATCTCTATACCACAACCACAACCACCTAGAATAAACTAGAGCTAAGATTACTGAAAAGAATTATGAATAGTCAATGAGAGATGGGATGGGGAGATTATGTATACTGACACTATTTTTCTACAGGAAAAAAAAATTTTAAAAACAAACCCACTCTATTTCTTTCAAATGAAATTCTTTGGTGAGACCAACATAATGATGGTCACTGTGATTTTCTTTCAGTTTCCTGGCATTTAACATGGACACAGTTGATGATCTTGCCTTTCTGTTGAAAGCAGTGAAATTTCGTGAAAGGATTCTTCAGTGGGGTTTGGTGACCAGAATTTATTATAAGGTAAAGATACACTTTTCCTTTTGACATGTGTTTAAGGGATATCCTTGCTGGTGAACTATCTGTTAAGTTTAGTAGAGGATGAGTCAGCTTAATGACAAGCTTCTGGAAGCAGCTAGAGTTCCTACAGGCCATTTTGCATGACACCATTGCTTGCTCTAGAGGCCAGGATGCTTCTGTTTAACCCCCTTTATGTCATCTTGTAGAATTCCACCTGCAAGCACCATGTGGCTGCCATGGGAGTTTATGAGTGGTATAATTTTCAGCCCTTATCGAAATTGAAAAATCATTGTTTTATATGTATAAAGAGTACATTGTTCTCAAAGACAGGGAGGGGTACTGCATCAGGCATATGTAAAAATTAACATTGGGTTAGTCTAAGATGCATTCTATCTCCTATTAAAATACCCACGAAGCTCTGCAAAAGCATAAAATCTTGTGCCAGCATTAATAGAAATCTAAAGGAAATTTCCATCAAGTACAGTGCCAGTGGGATTAGTTTGAAGGATCACTGTCCATCCTAGTAATATCTGTTTCATCTTCTGATCTAGCGCAGAATAGCCAATGGAACCCCAGGAGAAGGCTTTACTGCTTCCACTCTATGTCCAGGCCAGGGGCTCAGGGCTGCCGTAACCAGAGTTCAGGTTGCTTCTCTCCTTCTGCATGGGAATTACGTTCCAAGAGGGCCAGAATTGGGTTCCTGCAATTCTCCCCATCCAGTTCACCCCTTTTTATATGAATTTCAAGGTCATGTCTCCTAGTACAACACAACAGAGGTAGAAGGGAAGAGGATGGATGGTACATGGGAATGGGTATTCTCTTAGGAAATGCTTTGGAAACAGAAGTGCCCTGGAAGCAGAAAGCGGCCAAGATCCACCCTCGTGGAACAGAGCCATGCTAGATGAGAACCCGCCAGAAGCCAGGCTAGGAATTGTGTAAATCAATTTCTCCCCCAGGCATAGATCTGAGGTGAGGCTCTGCCACACCCCATGAATGCATTCAGGTGGGTTTAAATCACTCCACATATCCTCCACATATGTGGCTCCATATGGAGCCAGCTGAAATAAGAGATGGATATATCCAAAAATGCTGCAGTTGCAGCAAAGAGCAGAATGAACAAGGGAGAAAATGCGATCTGTGAACTGTTTTCGAAGACTATATAAGAAAAGGCTAAAGACGAAATGGTAAGGGAAGAAAATAGAAGCAGAGTGAAATAGTAGAAGTCTAACCTATGGATAACAAATATTCTTGGAAGTGCTGGAACAAAAGGAGCAGAAATAATAATCACAAACATAATAGAAAAATAATTTCCTTCGTGTAAAAAAAATCTTATGCTAATGGAAAAAAAAGACTTATACTTGGACATAGATGAAAAATCTCGAATAAAGAGAACAGAATGTGAGCAACAAGACAGAAAATAATAGTTTACTCAAAAACAGAAAAAAATTAGGCTAGCTGCTGTCATTCACTAGCTCCAAATGGAGTAATAAGTACTCTTCTAAAGAGGAAACTTCATGATCTAAGCATAATATTCCAAGCCAAATTTAATCCCTGAGCATAGGCAATAGAAAGATATTTTTAGATATCAAGAATCAGAAGCAATTTCACTAATATAGCCTTCCTTAAAAAGTTATCTTAAAATTTACTCCTTAGGACACCAAAAAGAATCAAAACGAATAACTCAAAAATAAGGAAGTCAAGATATAAAAGGATTGGCGATCCCTGTGAAGCCAATACTATATGTTTTTAAAAATAGTCACAAAATTGGCTGGGCATGGTGGCTCATGCCTGCAATTCCAGCACTTTGGGAGGCCAGGGCAGGCAGATTGCTTGAGCTCAGGAGACCAGCCTGGGCAACATGGCAAAACCCCATCTCTACAAAAAATACAAAAAAATTAGCCAGGTGTGGCAGCACGTTCCTGTAGTACCAGCTACTCAGAAGACTGAGGCAGGACAATCTCTTGAGCCTGGGAGGCAGTGGTTGCAGTGAGCTGAGATCACACCACTGTACTCCAGCCTGGGCAACAGAGCCCCTGTCTCAAAAAAATAAAAAGTCATAAAATTAAATATATGGAAGCTAAAAATATTTTTTTGGAAAAAAGCATGATTTAAAAAAAAAAAAACTTGATAAACTGGTTCTGTAAGAGTCTATACTATTTTTTAAGGTAAGATGAAAGACAAAGTAAAAACATACTGAATTTCTTACATTCATTACAGGGCAAGCAAAAGACCTTGTTTTGTTCTGACTTTAGTAATTAGAGAAACATAGGTTAAAATATATGTTTTATTAAATTGAAAGCTAACATAACTACTGAACACAGAATGCTTGGTTTTCCAAATCACTGCAGCAGACAAAGCAATGAAGATAAACAAGTGGTCAGAAGTTTGTGTAATCGGAACAGAGCAAAGAACAAATCAGAAAGCATGTTCTTAGGAGACTCAAAGACACTCCGGTGCGGCTCCTTTAAGTGAATCCACACCAAGGCCAGGAGAGCTGGTTAAAAAGTTCCCACTGCGAATTGCTCCTTGGTTTGAGAATTTCTCCGGGATTGCTTCCCTAAATCTGTTTCCCATTAATTGTGATATCCCCTTTGTCTCTTCTAATTTGGCTCAATTCAAGACCCCTCTCTCTGGCCCCAGAAGATTAATGCTTTGATCTTGAACTGAGTTGATCTGGTAATTCCTTGAAAACAACATTTCCATTATAGTATGATCCCTTAAGCAGTGGAGAGGCAGCTTTTGATACATTTTCATCCTAGAGAGCCTTAAATCCCTCCAGCTCCCACCTCTGGAAAGTGGGGGATTAGATTTAAAATGGGCTATAATATGAAATGAAAGAGGTTTCAATCCTCCTAGTAAAAGCACGGACTCTCAGATTAGATTAGATTACACATTGTGTATAGAAACAAATCTAATTATATGCATCGATGTATAACTATACACTTCAAAACAAAAAGTGACATTTTAAAAGATTTTCCAAAGTAAACGAGTAAATGTGTGTTGGGAAACAGCAAAGTATTTTCAGATATCTCTCGAAAGGTTGTTATATTAGTTCGCTGGGGCTGCCATGACAAAATACCACAGACTGAGTGCCTTAAACAACAGAAATTTATTTTCTCACAGTTCTGGGGGCTGGAAGTTCAAGATCAAGGTTCCTGAAGGGTTGGTTTTCTTTGAGCCTCTCTCCTTGGCTTGCAATGGCTGCCCCCTTGCTACCTCTCATGGCCATCCATCCACGCACCCACACCCCAGTGCGCTTTTTCTTATAAGAATACTGTCGTATCACATTAGGGCCCCACTCTAACAGCTTCATTTTAACTGAATCACCTCTTTCAAGACTCCCATCTCTAAATATGGTCACATCCTGAGGTACTAGGAGTTGGGACATCAATGTTTGAATTTAGAGACACACAATCCAGCCACTACCAGTTGGCAATACTAATCTTATCAAAAGCATTAACCAGAAAGGCAAAATGATGACCCCATAACCATGAGCCTGTATGTGCCAACTACATTTTGTCCTCTAAGATGGATCCCCAAGAATCCCACCTCCTGATAGTCACACCCTTGAGTGTCTTCTCCCGTGCTCTACCAGAGTTGGTCTGAGTGACATATAAGTAGAAATAATGGCATGTTGCTTCCAGATATAAAACCTTATGACTTCCATCTTGGTCATTCTGTTGCACTCTCTCTCTTTATCTCTAATCACTCTGGGCAAAACCATGTCATAAACATGCCCTATGGGGAGGCCCAGGTGGCAAGGAACTGAAGCTTCCTGCCCACAACCACATAAGTAACCTTGTAAGTGTACCCTGTAGCCCCAGTTACAGCTTCAGAGACTGCAAGCATGGGGCAGTCGACACTCGCTGCAACCTCATCAGAGTCCCTGAGGCAGAAGCACACCGTCAAGCAGCTTCTGGATTCCTGGGCTTCAGAAACTGTGTGCATAATGAACACTTGGTGTTGTAATCCACTAGGTTTGGGGCAGGTTGTTGCACAGCAGCAGATACCTAATCCAGATTTGGGCACCCAAAAGTTGGGTGCTGATATAACAAAAGCCTCAATGGGACTGTGGCTTTGTACCTGTGCAGTGAGCTTTGAGAAGAGTCCTAGTGGAAGCCTAAAATACCTTGAAGAAATTATTACCAGAAACCTTTATGGTCTTAACCTGTGGGTGAGGACTTGTAGGAAAATGAGGTAAAAATTATTGGAAACTGGAGGAGGGGGATCCTTGTTACGTAGTGGCAGAGCTGTAGCAACGCTGTTGCCTGAAGTTATGTGGAAACAGAAAATGTACCCAATCAATGAAGTGATCCAGCAAAGGAGATGTCCATCCTGCAAGCTGAAGGTGCTGCCTGCCTGCTTATTGCAGCTTTTAGTGATGTGCAAGAAGAGAGAGAGAATCTCAAGGAAAGAGCTTTTAACATGCAGGACCTGCCAGTTAATATGATTTTGAAGGTCCCTGAGCTCTCCATATGGTCAATGTGTTCATTTCTTAGGGCTGCTGTGACAAACCACCACAGACTAGGTGGCTTAAAACAACAGAGATTTATTTACTCACAACTTTGGAGGCCAGAAGTCTGAAATCATGGTGGCAGCAGGGCCATGCCCACTCTGAGACCCTGGGTACAATCCTTCCTTGCCCTTCATGGCTTCTGGTTGCTACTGGCAATCCTTGGTATTCCTTGACTTGCAGCCACATCTCTCCAAGCTCCTCCTCTGTTATCACATGACATGCCCACGATATCTCCCCGTAAGTCTCCGTTGTCTCTTCTGCTTATCGGGGCACTAGTCATATTGGATCAGGACCCACCCTAATTACCTCATTTTAACTTGATTACCTCTGCAAAGACCCTATTTCCAAATAAGGTCACATGCACAGGTACCAGGGGTTAGTACTTCGATATGTCCTTTTGGAGGACACAGTTTAACCATAGCAGCAGACAATGCTAAAATTAAAAAATTAAAATGGCTTCAGAGCAAAAGTATAATCCAGGACCCTCCCTGAAATGTGTAATCTAAGGATGAAGCCCAGGACATGACTGCAAAATTCTTTAAGAACTGAGAAAGATCAAAGGTAAGTCTTAAGTCACACAAAAGGCCTTCTGAGTTTACAAGTGTATCTTTCAGACTCTCTCAATTATACAATAAAGCTTCTAGGAAACTTGAGGGCATCCTCTGTCAGCCTTCTCAACACCCCCAAGGGCCTATGTCAAAGAGATTTGTGGGTGTGGCTTTTGTCTAATGGAATAAACTTCCCCAAAGATTCACAGGAAATGCACA